GTGAATTTGTGGCTCTCCCTGACGTGCTTGCTGCCTGGATTGATTGAGGGCACTCATTTCACCCACAGAAATGTTCTGTTTTTATCTTCTCCTATCTTAGGTCATCTCTTGGGAACTAGAGTTGCTGTTTTGCTGCAAATGCAGACTTTGTTTCATGTGGCTATTTCTCATACATACTCCTTAGAAAGCCTAAGTGCATAATATTTGATGTCTGGTGAAGACATTTATATTTATTTATATTAGTATGGTTCTTTCTAAGCTCTAACAAAACAGAAGAGCTTAGAAAAAAATAAGAATGAGTAATGGGGCCAGTAGGTGGTATAGTTAGGAGACTGGAGTCCTGGACCCGCCAGCTTGCTTTCTCACTCTCTCTGTCTCTGTGTGTGTGTTTGTCTCCCTCTGGTGAGCACATGGGCCCTATAGCAAATTTAAAAATAATAATAAATAAAATTAAATAATTATTTAAAAATGAAGAGTATATTTGTTTCCTAGAGTTGCTGTTATAAATTGCCACAAAATGGGCAACTTAAAACAACAAGAATGTATTCTTGCACAGTTCTGGAGATCAGAAGTCTGAAATCAAGTTGTGTGCAGGGCTGCAATCCCTCTCGAGGCTCTAGGACATAAGTCATTCTTTATCATTTCCAGCTTCCGGTGGCTGTAGGTGTTCCTTGATTTGTGGCCATATCACCCCACTCTCTGCCTCCATGGACACTTTGGCTCTGCCTCTTCTCTCTCTCTCACATTTTGTTTGTCTCTTATGGACCCACCTGGGTAATCCAGGATAATCTAGTCTCAAGATCCTTAATTTAATTGCATCTGCAAAGACTCTTTCCAAATAAGGTCACATTTGTGGGTTCCAGAGATTTTGATGTAGACCTAGGTTTTGGAGGGGTCACTATTCAGCCTGCTACAAGTGGCTAACAAATCCCTCAAATGATTTTTTTTTCAAATTTCAGTAATTTACATACCATATCTAAAATAAAGACAGTTTAATAGAAAACAGAACAAAACAAACATTTCCTAATAGATTTTTTGTGTGTGAGGAATTTGACATAATTGATTTAAAATTTACTTAATAAAGCAGAGTCAAGAATAGTCCAGACACTCCTGGAGAAGAATGGTAAGGTTGAGAGAACCCTGCTCCAAGTCTTATAAATTTATAGTAACTAAGGCACAATGACATTGATTCAGAGATGGACAAATAAACCAACTGAACATAATAACATAATCAGCAGTCCAGGAAACACCAAAACATACACAGATTTGGGCTTTATGACAGAGACATCATTGCAAATTAACAGTTATTTGTATGAACAAAAATGGATCTTCATCTTATACCCCCAAAAAAGAAAAATCAGGTCCTGGTTCATTCAAGATTTAAATATGAGCAGCAAAACTTAAACATATTTATAAAATACATAAGAATATTTGATGGTCCCAGGAATTTTTTTTTTTAAGAGAGAGAGATTTTCTGTATAGGGCATGTGTGCTCACGAGGGAGACAAAGAGACAGAAAGCAAGAAATCACCCTCTCCCAGGGGGGTGGCCACTCTGCAATCCCTTCTCCTCCATTCTCCTCTCAGGATTTTGGGCACACATGCACATGCACACGGCATGAGTTTAAACTGCTGGGTCCTGGACTCAAACCACGGTTGACTATGTGGAATTCAAATATCCATCAATGGGAAAGAGCTAAATAGTCATATATTTGTACAATGAAATACTTGTAGACACTGATATACTTTCCAGATTCTCCTTCAAGGAAATACTATGGCCCCAGCTTCTGGAAGTACTGTTGTAAATCCTCTTTTAGCTGTCAGACCTCAGGGATTGCCTCAGTTGCAGAGCACTGTTTCACCTAAGGTCATCTTCCTTATTGGAGTGGCCACATCTAATGACTTATCAGCCCAACTCATGACAGCTGTGAATGTTCTGAAGGGCCATTCTGGTTTCATTTTATTTGCTGATGATACTGTGAGTCAGGAATTTGGTCAGGGCTTAGCTGGGCAGATGTGCCCCATATAGCATCATCTGTGGTCATTCTTTCAGCAGCATTTAGTCAGTGACTGGATGAGCTAAGAAGTCCAATAAGGCTTCATGCACATGTCTGACACATCCAAGTGGCCTATCTCTCACTGTATCATTGCCTCATAATATGGTGGTCTCAGAGCAATTAGATTTCTTATATAGTGGCTTACAACATACCAAATGATGAAGGTGGAAGCTATAGATCCCTTGCTCTCCAGACTTAGAAATGACCCAGCATAATTTCTGCTACATTCCATTAATTAAAATAACTCACAACACTAGACCTGATCCAAAGGGAGAGGAAATAGACTGTGTTGCTATTGCTTTTTTCAATTGTCAAAGGGCACATACACTTGCCAGAGAGTGAGGGAGGGAGAAAGAAAGCACCTTTCAATGGGATGTGGTGATGCTGAATTCCTTTACCTCCATTTCTCCATCCCATCAGGATTTGGGGCACACACATATGTGAACTCAGTGTATTTTTCAAGCCAGAGAGCCTGAGATTCTAACCATGGTTGGCCATGTGAGAGCTGGCTGTCAATTAACAGGGCTTAACCACTATGCTACAAGCCAGCCCAAGACTCTACTTCTTGATGAGAACATGACAAGGTAACATTGCAAAGGAGCCTGTGAAATGGGAGAGATTTTTGTGACCATTTATCTTAGGCCATTTGCTGTTGCTATAACTGACTACCACAGACTGAATAATTTATAAAGAACAGACATTTATTTAGCTCACAGCTTTGGAGTCTGAGAAGTCCAAGTGCATGTGTTGGCATTTGACAAGGGTCCATGGCAGAAGGTATCACATGACAAGAAAGAAGGTATGTGTGTTGGAGAGCAAAAGAGGCTGCTTTTATAACAACCCACTCTCATCATAACCCATGAATCTATTAATCAATTAATGGCTCTGCCCTTCTTTATTGGCCCTACCTTTTAATATTGGTACAATGGGAATTAACTTTCAACATGAGTTTAGGAAGGAATAAATATTCAAACCATAGCATTAACTTTAGAAACACAATCTATCATGGTCTTATGTACAGTCTAGTATATTGTTCACTGTACAGCTCCAAAGCTTGCTATTCACCCAGATCTCAAAATAAATAGTCCCCCTGAGTTGTGAAGTACAGAACCAGCATTATCAGGCTTCATAGCCCTAGACTCTCACAAACATTGCGCTGATCACAAAAAGCAAGTCACAGATGAATAGCACAACCCTTTACTATTTACATGAAGTTTAAAATGCCAAACTGAAGAATATATTATTTAATGGCACATAAAAATGTAGTAAGACAATAAAGCATTTTCTATAAAGGAAATTATCAACATAAAATTTAAGAAAGGAATTTTTTTTTAAAGATCAGAGAAGAATACAGGAACTTCTATGGTCTTTGTAATCTACTGGTAATCTATGGCTTCAGCTAGGTGGTAGATACATGGGTGTTTGTTATCTATATCACATTATTTTGTATGTACAAAATAATTTATACTCAATTAAGAAAGAGAACTATAATAAGATAGAAAATTTAAAATAAATATTATTTTAGGATTGTAGTAGCCTCTGGAATAACGGAAAGGGACATGACAAGGGAAAGTTTTACAAGGGACTAGTAGTGTTAAATTCTATTTATTGGTTCCAGTTACAGTGTTGTGCATTGCTAAAATGCTGTGCTTCACAGGCTAGAACCAATGGGAGGCTCTGGATTGATTCTCAGCCCCACCTGAAGGCCAGGCACAGTGGCACATACCTGTAATTCCAGCTGGAGGCTAAGGCAGCAGGATCACAACACAGAAAAACTTTGTCTAAAAAGAAAAGAATGTATATATTTTTATTAGATTAGCTTGGTGAGTATTTGCTACATTTTTCTTTATACATTATCAATTCATCATATATCTTCTTTCATTTGTGTTAATAACCCATAAAATTTATGCATTAAATAAATATTTATTTATTGAGTATTCTCTCTCTCTAGGCACTCTTCTTCCAGACACTTGGGATACACTGATGAACAAAGCAGGCAAAAAATCCCTGCCCTCATATAATTTCCATTATTTTATCTTCTTTTTTTTTTCTTGAGAGATTTTTGCTAAAGGGCACATGTACTTGCCAGAGAGACAAGAGAGACAAAAAGTGAGAAATCACCTCCCAGGAGGGATGGCCACACTGCAATCCCTTCTCCTCCGTTCTTCTCTCAGGATTTTGAACACACATGCACACACACTCTTGTTCTCCTAGTCTTTCTCTGGTGAGCAAGTACACACATCCTAAGGCACTTAAAAAAAAAAAGAAAGAAAAAGAAAAAAGAAAGACAGGAATAAATAGAAAGGCCACAGCCAAACCTGTTTTAAAAAAAATGAAATATTCAGCTTCTCCCTTCAGGATACAAGGTGATAATGTTGAACTCAACCCAAGTCAAGTATATTCGATGTAATAAAAGTTGAGATAGTGAGGACATGAGAGTTATGAGAGACATTTTAGTACCAAATATAATCTGAAATGATTGCAATTGTCATCATATCATGCCTTTGTGACAAAACAAATTGAGAGAGAAAGAGTCAACTATTCAGGGACCACTCATTGAGTTTATATCACAGTTAAATATAAAAGATCAGCCAGACAAGTGAAAGAGAGACCATTTCTGTATTTAGACTCTTTCAATGTAATTATAACAATGATGTTGGAAGAGCCTACTTTATCCCTTAGATGCATACATTTCCATCTAACATTTTTGATAATCACTCAGTTTAAATGACTTAAATATTGCACTGTTTGTCACACATTCTCTCTTGAGAGAATTAGGATGATGTTCTAAAGAGGTAGTTTTTGAGAAGACTTAGTATATGCTTATGGAACCATTCAATTCTTTTGTTGTGACAGTAAATAAAAAAATAGAGTAAGCTCTATTTTGACAAAGAAAACTTCTCTAAGAGGGGAGATAAATACTCTAAAAGGTGATGTGCCAGCGATGGCAGGCGATAAAGCTGCAAAGCAGGATACTAAGGAGAAGAAACTGAAGCCAAGAAGGCTGATACCAGTGGCAAGGTTAAAAAGGGTGACCCCAAGGCTAAAAAGCCCAAGAAGGGGAAGCCCCATTGCAGTCGAAACCCTGTCCTAGTCCGGGGCATCGGCAGATACTCCCTGTCTGCCATGTATTCCAGGAAGGCCATGTACAAGAGGAAATACTCGGCCACTAAATCCAGGATCGAAAAGAAAAAGGAAAAGGTTCTTGCAACTGTCACAAAAACGGTTGGTGGAGACAAGAATGGTGGTACCCGGGTGGTTAGACTGCACAAAATGCCTAGGTATTATCCTACTGAAGATGTGCCTCGAAAGCTGTTGAGCCATGGCAAAAAACCCTTCAGTCAGCATGTGAGAAAGCTGCGAGCTAGCATCACTCCCGGGATGATGATCATCCTCACTGGACGCCACAGAGGCAAGACAGTGGTTTTCCTGAAGCAGCTGAGCAGTGGCTTGCTACTTGTAACTGGACCGCTGGTTCTCAGTGGAGTTCCACTGCATAAAACACACCAGAAATCTGTCATCATCACCTCCATGAAAATTGATATTAGCAAAGTAAAAATCCCAAAGCACCTTACCGATGCTTACTTCAAGAAAAAGAAACTGCGGAAGCCCAGACACCAGGAAGGTGAGATCTTTGACACAGAGAAGGAGAAATACGAGATTTCAGAGCAGCGCAAGATTGATCAGAAAGCTGTGGATTCGCAAATTTTACCAAAAATCAAAGCTGTTCGTCAGCTCCAGGGCTACCTGCGATCCGTGTTTGCCCTTACAAATGGAATCTATCCTCACAAATTGGTGTTCTAGATTTTTTTGCCAAGAACCTAATTAAATAACTGATCATATATCTATATAAAAAAAAAAAGATGATGTGTCAGGATGAAATCCACTCACGGCCCAGTTCTTCACAAAAACCTTATCTTGGTTTTCAGCAAAGTAGTTCATGGATGTAGTGGAAAGTGTTGTGTGAATTATAGGCAAAGAATTTTTCCCAGGTCTATTCAAACATATAGTCAAAGGCAGGAGAATGCTTCTGAAATGTTAAAGCAGTCTTGAGTAAACAATGCTTAAAGTAGACAACTATTGTGATCCACCTCCTACTTTATCCTTCTAGAAACAGATCCCCACATTTAAGATAAAAATGCTCCCTCTCTCACTCCACCCAAGTGTTCCCAGTAGGGCAATGAGTCATATCTGTGATCTGTGATTCTTACGACATCATAATCTTCATTGCCTTTTTTTTTTTTTGAGAGAGAGAGAGAGATTTTTTTGCTATAGGGAGCATGTGCTTGCCAGAGAGACAGAGCAAGACAGAGAGACAGAAAGCTAGAAATCATTCCACGGGGGGATGGCAATATCATAATCCCTTCTTCTCCATTCTCCTCTTGGGATTTTGGGCACACACAGACACGTACCTAGCATGAGTTTCAAGCCTCTGGGTCCAGGACTTGAACTGCGGTCCACTATGTGGGAGTTCATTTGTAACCATTGTTGTAACCATTATACTATCTGCTGGCCCTGCCTTTTAATGAAAACTTGATAGAAGTAGTCTCTCTCTGATAGCAAACTCATGGGTCAACCTGGTCTAAACTGTCATCATCTCTCACTTGACTTACTGTAGTAGGTGCCTAACTGATCTCCCTATGTCTACTTTTGCCTTCCTACAGTTCATTCTCAACACAGAAGCCAGAAGGAAATGCATATTAGATAATGACACTCCTCCACACAAAACCCTCTAGTAGTTGCCCATCTCATACTCTAAGTCAAAGTCTTTACTGTGATCCACAAAGCCCTGCAGACTCTGTACATATTTCTTACCTTCCTGACCTCATTTCCTGCTTTCTCCTTGCTTTCTCCTGTTCAGTCTCAGACATGTTGATGTTCCTCACCCATGTCAAACACATCCCTACCTCAAGTCCTTTGCACTTACTGTTCTCTTCAACTTCAGTGCTTTCCCCCTAATTATCTATAAAGCTCATCTCTCCTCCTTCTGATCTATGCTCAAATGTCATCTTTTTAGTTGGCCTTCTCTACATGTTTTAAATTGCAACCTTCACCCCCAGCATTTCCTATACCCTACTATGCTTGATCATTTTTCTTTCCTATAGTACCTAACATACTGTAAAATAGTCCTCTTTACCTTTGTGTAGTGTCTGGATTTCCTCCCTTAAAATATGAAGTTTTTATTTTCTTGTTTTCTTCTGCTATTCTCAGCATCTAACAATAGAACAGAGACAATGGTTACAGATACTGGAGACAGTGTGAGAAGAGGGTGGGAGATAGGGGAGAGTGAAAGGAAAAGAGTCAAAGAGAAAAATAAAGAAATAAGACATTTAGGAGACACAGAAATGGAGAATTGTCTATTGATGATAATGTGTATGATATCCTCAACTGGTCTGGTATAAAGTGTATTCATGTTGGGTAAATACACTTTACAAGCTGTAGTGATATATAGTGTTTGAATGTATAAAATAAATTAAAATTCAAAAAAAGGGTTCAGAAGAAAAAAATAGAACAGTGTCTAGCATGTAATAGGTACTCCATAAATACTTATTTTAGCAGTTGGATGAATAAAATCTGGGAAGATGGGAGTTGGTGGCCGCTGTCATCTGAGATCTAGTCCCCTGGAAAAGCCTACCTGAAAGAGGACAATTGACATGAGAAACTTGCACTCTCCATGCTAGTGGGAGACTAGCTTTGTTCTTCTAGAGGCCAGCCACAGCTCTGCCTTTACAGGATTTTCTGTATGAGCCAAAAGTAAAAATAAATAAATAAATAAATAAATAAATAAATAAATAGGAAAAAAATCCCTCTTTTTGTCCAAGCTGGTTCCAAGTGGGCTTCTATCATTTACAACCATAAGAGTTCTAAGGTATGAACATTCTTTGTACAGACACAGAAAAAATTTTCTCTTTTATCAAGTAAAATCCTCTCTGAGTGTTCTATATCCTCAGTTCATGCTCTGTTTCATTTTTCTTCTTCAGTTCATGCTGACTTGGCAATGGTAGTTGATTCCACATTAGGAGGCTTCTGTTGCACCATCATTTTCAGTTATGCAAAATCTCTGTGTTCACCAACCTTGTGCAAAGTAGGATACAGAGACAGGGTAAAATGTGCTGCCTCTTGCTTCCTGCTCTATTCCCCACAAGCTCTTCACTGATCCAGCTCCAGAGCCACCCAGAGTCAATGCTCAACTTTTAGATAGGTGTTTGTCCATGTTGTCCCACCTCCTTTCTCTACAACAGTTACCACTAATCCTACCCTGCCAGTCAAAACTCGACAACAGAATGAAGAAACCAAAGATATTGTGACACATCAAAGGATATCTTCATGACCAGCCAAAGTGTCCCAACCTACTGGTTGGGAAATAATAGCTCATAAAAGTATCATATATACCATTCATTTTACAAAACAGACAACCAACCAAATGAAAAGGACTCAGAGAAGTTAAGAGACCTATTTATTACAAGTTTAAAATTCCCAATAAATACACATGGTGTTTTAAGAGACCTGTTCTGAGGCTTCTGAGCCAATAGAATTACAAAGTCATATATCAGTGCTGTGAACAAACTCCAACATTTTCCCATACAGTCATTCATTTGATAAACGTGAACTGAATCTCCAGGTTTGAGCAAGACATTGCTAAGTGCCAGGTCCTGAATGAGCTCCCAGTTTGGAGTGAGAGGCACAATGGAATGGCAAAGATACACAGGGTATAAGATGTTTTTAAATAACTATGAACAAGCATCTTGCTTTGAGGAGGCCAGAAAAACATCTCAGCATTGATGATGCCCAGAGATTAATCTTAAAGAATCAGTGAAAGTTAACTCAACCAAGGTGGGGAAGGCCATTCTAAGAACAGAGGTAGTGTGAGTAGAGTCATGGAGACTTCAGTCCCTTTAGTACGTTTGGGTATAAAGGGAAGGTAAAAAGAGGAGAGGGAAAGGACAGGGATAGGAATAACAGGCTGCACTGAATAAATTTCTCTTCTAACACCACAGCATTACCACCATATGTGTTTCCCTTGGCGTGAGTGTATAAGTGAAGCAAACTGAAATCATCTATGTGTCCCTACACTCTTCAGTACCTGGGGCAGGCAATCATTCAAACCCCCTAACTGAGATGACTTGCCTCCTTGCCCTTAACAATAGAGCTAGCAACCTTTGATCTTCTAGCACCTGAATATTCACAACTTCCTCCCAAATATTTGTCCTATTGGTTCAGTGAGCCCCTTAAAGGTTACTGCTGACTGGGGGAGGGTAGAGCAGTACTTGGGGGTGGTGCCGATGTCAGGATGTCAGTAAAGCAGAAGTACCAAGAGAGGGAGACAGCAGCCAGACAGGAGAGGCCAGAGAAGTCCCAGCTCATGGAGGGAGAGAGAGGTGCAACCTGTAGCTGCCCAGTGAGAATTCATCTCCATTGACATTTCCCAGTCTGTAAATTACTCTCTGATAGTAAACATTTATCAAAGCCTCTATGTTGTTGTCTTCTTCCATTTTCAGTCTCCTAAAGCACACAGTACTACACCCTTTAAAAAGCAGTGCTGTAGAGACTGGTCTCATGGCCTGATAGTTAAGGGTGCTAGATCTCACACGAACTACCTTGCCATTTGAATCCGTGATGCACGGTTTGAATCCCAGTCCCAACAGCTTTGAAAACATCCCAGTCATGTGTGCTTGCATGTCCCAAATTCTGGCAAGATGGAGAAATGGTGGAAAAGGGATTGAGGCATGGCCACATCCTGTTAGTAATACTTTCTCCCTCTCCTCTCAGTCTCTCTCTGGCAAGCACATGTGCTCTCTGGCAAAGAAAAGAAGGAGGATCAGCAAAAGGCATAATGGCTACATCGCTGAACTCCCATGTAGTTGACCGTGGTTCGAGTCTCAGACTCGATGGCTTAAACTCACGCCAGGTGTGTGAGCGTGCGGGCCCAAGATCCTGAGAGGAGAATGGAGGAGATGGGGTTGTGGCATGGCCATCCCCCCTGGAGGGTGATTTCTCACTTTCTATTTCTCTGTCTCTCTCTGTCTTTCTGGTGAACACATGTGCCCTACAGCAAAAACCTCTCCCCCTCCCCCCAAAAAAAAAGAAAAGAAGGAATAAGGAAGGGAGGAAAGAAGGAGGGAAGGCAGGAAGGGAGGGAGTGAGGGGGGAAGGAAAGAAGAAAGGAAGGTAGAAAGGAAGAAGGAAGCAGATGTAGAGAAATACCACATGTCCTCCCTCATCCATGGAAATTGAAAAAAGAAAGAAAGAAAGACCTTAAAGAGATAGATCAGGAATTCAGCTAGAGGCTGGGAAGGTTGGGGTAGGGGTGGGGGAATAGAGGAATGTTAACAGGAACAAATTGCAGCTAGGAGGAAATATTTTGGGTGTTATAAAAGGCAGTGGGGAGAAAATAAATGACAGCAATTAGCTGTGCATCTCAAAGTAACCAGAAAGGAGGATTTTGAATGTTCCCAACACAAGTAATGACAAATGGCTGAGGTGATGAGTACACTAATCATCCTGAATGAATCATTGCATAGTGTATTCCTGTAATGAAAAGTCTCATTGTGCCCTTACAAATAGGTATGATTATTATGTTAATTACATGCACACACACACACACACACGTTTGGGGGAAAAAAAACTTGTTTTGGGGCTGGACAGGGGTGCAGATGTAAAATGCAATGCTCTGACAAACATGGGAGGGTTTCAGGTTCACCTCTGGAAATCTTCCTGAGTACTTTGGGTACAGGTGTGCTCATGATCTGGAGCTGACTGCAGTTGGGCATGGATGGCTATGTCAAGACCCTGTTTGGGGTGCC